CCCGGGGCTGGGCAGGGGCGGCTGTGCGCTCAGCCCAGTGCGAACGTCGGCCCTCAGGGGATGTGTGTGGAGGAACAGCTGCAGAAGACGGTGAAGCCGCAAACATGGAAAGAGAGGTGCAGGAAACAGGGCAGAGGGGAGGAGACGGCAGGGGACCCAGACGGACAGAGACACGGATCTTGTGCAAAGGGACCAATGGTGTCCGCATCCCGCGGGGTCCCTTCCGCACCGTGATCCGCCCTGTGCCGGGGAGGCCGCTTGTGCCTGGGCCGGGTCGTTCGGATAACCGGAGCACATTCCTCTGTGCTGGCCGGGCCCCGGGGACCCCAGGAACCGCAGTCCGGGCTGGGAAGGGCGCGGATTCCACACCAAGGCAACGGCGCACGGTGAAGGCGGTCGCTCTGTACTTCAAGCACAGACTGATAAAAATTAAAAACAGCTATCAAGGTACGTAAGATCCTCGTGAAAAGATGGACCATGTGAAATAGAAAGAAAAGGTCTAAAGGTGTAGGGGAAGTGGGAAGGGTAGGGGAAGGAGAATAAGGGAAAAGAAAAAAAATATGAGAAAATAAAAAAATGGAAATAAAGTGTTTGGAGATGGGGAGGGGAGGAGGGGGTGAAGGGAGGGCAGGGGTAAGGGGAAAAAATGAGAATCGAGACCTGTCACGTAGAGGTACAAGATCCCAATGATGAATGTAACTGTACTGTGTACCTAAAATGTACCAATAAACTCAATAAAAGAAAAACATTAAAAACAAAACACGAAAAGACAACAAAGTCAGGGTTCGGGAAGTCGCGGCAGCCAGCAGCCCACCGTGGGGCCCAGGCCTCGGCCGTCCCAAAGCTGGCGGTGAGGAGTCCCCGGAACCCCCGAGGGCCCAGTCTTCCGTCCAAACGAACCACGCTCAGGTCCGCGCGCAGCTGTGCGGGGTCTGAGTTTTTGCTGCTTTCGTCCTCAGCGATGGCGGAGCCCGTTGGAGGCCAAGGTCCGGAAGGTACGGGCAGCCCCCGCCTTGGTCCCAAGAGAAGCCGAGCAGAAAACAACGAACCGAACCTGAACATCGACGCAGGCTCAGCCGGGCGCCACCGCACTTCCCCCGGCCTGACTGCTTGAACCCAAAGTCGACCGGAATCTGCCTGCAGCCTCCCAGCCTGGGCCCAGCAGGTACAGGAAGGGTGCAGCCTGTCCCACTTCGTCCTGTGCCATCTCCTCCCAAACGCCAGCTCCGCGACTCCCAGCCCGGCCTGCTTACTCTGAAACCCAGCAGAGGCCCAGGCACACTGACTTTCTGTCGCTGTCTTGGGCCGCCAATAACACGATGCCGGGGAGAGACAGACGGGTGGTGAGCTTTGGATCTTCGGGGTCTCCTGCTGGTTTTGTCCCCCAGGCAGCAGTGTGGTGAGGTGGGACTTTTGGAGGAAACTGGACCAGGAGGACTCAGCTCATCCACAGATCGATCCAGTCATAGGTTCCTGCTTTGAAGCCATGATTGGGTGTGATGGAAACTCAGGGTGGGACTTAGTCGAAGAAATTGGTCCTTTAGAAAGTTCCCTAGATGGACTGAGCCCCCGAGACCTCTGGGGCAGCCGACCACGGACTGAACCCCCGAGACCACTGGAGCAGCTGACCGCTGACTGAGCCCTCCGAGACCATGAGGCAGAATAAACCTCTCCTCCATTAAGTTGTTTTTCTGAGGTACTTTGTAAAGCTCACTAACGCACATGGTAATTGGAAAACCAAACAAGTTCGCTGGGACTCCCAGGTCGGGTCCAACATCAGCTCTTTCGGTGGCAGAGTCACAAAGTAGAGCAGGACAACGAAGGGGCAGACAGACAGACAGCCGTCCCGCCCTGTCCGGCAGCCCCTGCTCTCCAGAGAGCCCGCGGATCCACGAATGTGCTAAATCCATCCACCAGGGCAGACCACTCTAGAGGCCCCCTCCTACAGCTCACACCTGGTTCCAGGCCCCAGTATCTGATCATCGCCATGATACTGAGAGAAAACCAACCACATTCAAACCATAGTAACTGTGCTCTGCGTAAGACCAAGGCTCCCAGATGCCGGGGCGGGGGTGCCGGGGATCGAACTCAGGACCTTGCACTTGGCAGGCAGATGGTGGAACCCCTGAGCCAAATCCCCAGCCTGATACCAAAGTTTCCAATCATTTCGAGGACACAGGGTGAGGTCCTGACGCCGACCCCGCAGACCTGAGTGATCTGAGCCTGTCCTCCTTCTCCGATGGCCCCCACCTGCGCCTCTGGCCACCCTGCTCACCGGCCAGAAAAACGAGCACAAGAGAAGCTGTTCGTGGTTGCTTCCTGTCCACCGCCAAACACCAGACACTCCAGCTTCCACATGGCGTGGTTTTCTGTTCTCTGAGACACCAAAAGTGTAAGGACCTGGCGAGCGACTAAAAGGTGGGTGACAGGAAAGGGAACAGGTCTTCTGAAAGGCAGGGGACCAATACATGGAGGGGAGGCGAGGAAGGAGCTGCAGAGGGAGTTAGCGTGGTGTCGGCCCGGGCACCCACGCCCCACGAGAATGTGGCCGTCGGGCACTGCAGAGATGGTCTCATAAAATCAAAGAAAAAGAAGTTTGGCGTTAGGAAAAGCCCAGGGCCAGATTATCCACTCAGATCTTTACTGCCTTCTCCTTCGGATCCTCTTCCCAGACACCACAGATAATACTCTCTTTCCTGCCCAAACTCCTGCCAGTGTGAGCAGAAGACACAAAAACATCCCCACCCCGTGGATACACGACAAGGAGGTGAGAATTTCTAGACCCACTCAGCCTTGACGGGAAGCAAAACTTTTCTCTCCCTTGCAGATTTCTTCCCAAGAACGGAATTTAACCTCACCCTGCTCTTAGCAAAAACAGGAGGCGCCCTCTGGTGGTCGTGGGTGAATCTGACGATTAAAAGCACAGAAATCATTAGGCTGTTTTTTGATGCACCTGCCTCACTCTCTCTCTGGGATCAGGAGATTAAAAATCTTCCCGGAGGGCTGGGGGATTTAGCTCAGTGGTGTCACCGCCTGCCTTGCAAACTTCAGGTCCTGAGTTCGATCCCCGGCACCGTAAGATCTCCTGGGACGCTCTGTTTCTTAGTAATCTGTACATTGAGTTTCACCATTTATAACTCCACCTCGGACAAACATTATTATTCAGTTAGGAGGCATTCAGACGAATGGCAAAGTTTCGAGTTATATTGATACCTATAAGTATATATTTATACATATGAATTTATAATTGTATAAATACAAAATCATAAATTTATATATATTTTAAGGAATATAAACCCGTACATTTTAGTCATTGCTTTTTGTTTTTGTTTTTGTTTTTTGAGACAGGGTCTCGCTGTGTAGTTGAGACTGACCTGGAACTCACTATGTAGCCCAGGCTGGTCTCGAATTCACAGCGATCCTCCTGCCTCAGCCTCCCGAGTACTGGGGTGACAGGCGTGTGCCACCGTGCCCAGCACAAACCCATACATTTTGGGTACCAGGGATCAAACTCAGGTCTTTGTGCGTGTGAGGCAGGCGGTGGAACCACTGGGCTAATCCCTGGCTCATAAACCCAAACATTTTAAAATAGAAATGCAGGGATGTATATATAAGTTTTAATTGTGAAGTGCTTTTTAAAAAGTAACTAGAAAACCAAGAAGTTAGCAAGCCTTGGGTACCGACTGGGTGCTACGTTATCATCTTTCTTAGCTTTTCCCGACGTCCTGGCCTTTACTCAAGCTTTTTACCCGCATTTTGCCTGCGGAGAACGTGAGCTGTGTGAGTCACGGATTAGGAAACTGCACCTGCGATTTCTACCTGGTAAAACAGTCTCCACGCCACGCAGACGAGCAAAGCGTACCCTGCTATTTTTTTTTTTCCATCTCCACGAAAATCCACGCGTTGCCATGAGTGGATTTCTCCTCTTTTTCCTCTTCGTTCGGTCGGCCTGACCCGACGTGGCCCAGTTAAGGACCACGAGTCCTAAACGCTGCATCTGCCAGTCAGGAGGTCCGAGTGCCTGGCGTTGGTTTTCCCATTTTCCCTAAATAAGGCAACTTGGGCCGTGGCTGCTGAAAGAGGCACAGAGGTCTTCGTGCGGACCTTTTCGGTAGCTGTCTGCTTTTTTTTTTTTCTTCCATGAAACAGGGGCACGCGTGCATCTCCACAGTCTCGAGGGGCCCTGAGAGTTCCGTGTCCCCGTTTGCCAAGATGCCCAGCGTCTGAGTGACAGACAGGCTGGGCATCGCTGGTGCTCTGCACAAATGCACAGAGCTAGCGCGTGCCGGCACGGAACCACAGCATAAAAGCTTTCTAAAAATCACAGTGGCTGTTTTCTTCAGAAATCCAGGGCGCTGCTGCACGGTGGAGACCAACCCTGTGTGCCCGGAACAAAATCTCACCCTCCATCTCCGCCGTGCAGAACCAGCAACAAAAGTGCACAGGAGGGTGACAGTTACGGCCACAGCAACAGTCACAGCCATCAGGTACAATTGTTACCTCTGCGGGTGTTATAGTTACGTCGTTGCAGTTGCTGTTATTGTTGTAATCGTTACGGTCCGTCACAGTTAGGGGCCAGAGTTAGGGGCTCTGGGGCCAGAGCAGGAATAAGGACGGAGGTCAGGAAGGGAAAAAGCTGTACCCAGGATGAGGGGAGCCAGGGAGAAAAGGTTGATTTTGAACCAAAGTCCTGATAAGGATGATGATGCAGGCAGAGGAAAAAGGCTGAGGAGGAAAACCCGAGTAGACGAAATCAGTATCTGCTCAGGAAGGAGAAACCATAAAGTCCTAGGAACTTTGATGTCTTTATATGGGACTCAGGGGTGTGGCGGCACATGCCTGAGATCTCGGTGCTCAGGAGGCTGAGGCAGGAGGACCGCCGTGATTTCGAGGCGAGCCTGGACTGCATAGTGAAGCAGAGATGCTTTCTGGAAAAACCACGACCTGCACCTAAAAATAAACCAAAGAGGCAGCGGGCATTGCCCCAGAGAACAGCCTGACCCATCACCCCAGTATTCTGGGAGGCTGAGGCAGGAGGGTACCAAGTTCAAGGCACATCAGGACAAGTCAGCGACTGAGACCCTCTCACAAAAACAAATAAATAAAAACGAATTGATGAATACACACATGATTAAATGAGCAGGCTAGGGATGTCGCTCAGCGCAACTCTCTCAGGTAGAGGACACAGTATGTCACGATGCAGAGCTCTCACCCTGGGCTTTGAAGTTTCTCCTCCTCCCTCCCAAGGCTCAGGAGACGCCAGGGACTGATGAAATCTCAAAGCCACTGAGGTCAGCGTGAGGGCCGGAGCTCCGGGGATGAGGCTTCCAGCCCAGGAGTTCTTGGGACCCAGGTTCCCCTCGGATCCCTTTCCCTTACTGTCTTAATTTTTTTTTTTTTCCATACCGGGGAGTGAACCCAGGGCTTTCACGCTCAGCAACATCCTCTGCCTTTGTCCTTCCCGTTTGCCACACACACAAAGTCTCGCTAAACAGCCCAGGCCGATACGAAATAGGCGCTCATCCTGCCTCAGCCTCCCAGGCACGCACGCACGCAGGCGCACACAGCCGCAGCCAGCGGGGCGTTTCAGAGCCGCTCTTACAGTTCAGGAAAATGAGCCTCTGTGGAAATCCCGCCCACCACACAACCGCTGGAGGGGACAAAAGTCAAGGAGGCCACTTGGGCGGCCTCCTGGAGAATGCCAGGAATGCGCCAGGGAGGAGCAGAATTCTTTTCGGGTTTTTTTGGTCTGTTTGATTTTCTGAAACACGGTCTCGCTACGTCCCACCAGGCCCAGCCGGCTGACTTATGTTTGAGCCGCTGCGTGTCCAGCTACACGGATCGCGAGGTGACTGGAGATTCTGTAGCCTCCTCTGCCTCCGCCAGCCTGGTCGCCAACCGGGTCGCCAACCGGAGAACCCGATCCTGCCACCAGATGGCGCCCGCGAGAGACCAAAGCCCGCTCTGAATGAGAGGTGCTCCCCGCGGCTGGATGGGAACCTTCGATGTCCACCTGGAGGTGGGTGCCACGGTCCCGCGGACAGGGACAGGGTGCGCTGTACTTACCGCCTTTCCACACAATTACAGCTCGGAAAATCTTCAAAGGAAAGCAGCCTGACGTGGTGGCACACACCTGCCTTCCCTGCACTCCCGGGCAGGAGGCTGAGGCAGGAGGGTCTGTACAACCAGTTCAAAGCCAGCCCGGGCCACAGAGGGAGTTCACGGCCAGCCTGATTCGCAACCTAGCAAGATGCCACCCTCGGGGAAAATAATTTAGGGGAAATTCTTGGGAATAGGCAGTTCGTAAGTCTGAAATCTCTTTTGTGTGGTTTTATTCTGACAATCGCTGTGTTTTCTGATTCGTTGTCATTTGCCTTTCGCTCGGCCTGACTCAGAAATGCAGGCTGATCGTGTAGGCGTGTAGGGAAGACACAGCTTGAAGTTCAGGCGTGATGCCGTAAGGAAGCTCGGGGGTGGGTCACACGCCTGTCATCCCAGCACTCTGGGAGGCTGAGGCAGGAGGATCCCAAGTTCAAACCCAGCCTGGGCACCTTAGAAATCAGAAGAAGAGGAGGTCCGTGATACAACTCAGTGCAAAGGCTCTGGTGCCAATCCCTCGTGCTAAAAATAAAATACAACAATAGAATAATAAAGAACTTCACAGGTGATGAACAGTTACCAACGTTCACGTCTGTGGCATTCAGCTGTGGCACCACGTGATGTGTGAATTCTTTTTAAAACCCAGGCAGAAAACTCCAAAACAGAAAATACAATGCAGGAGCATCCGGCTTTGGTCACGCAACACCGCATACGTTTTCACACGCTGCCTTGCCCTCAAAAGCAGCAGATGGAAGCCTCGTACAGCAAATCCCCAGTGCTCCGTCCCTTCCGTGAACCAGCGTAAGACCTGACCGCACCCACCCACACCTCCCCTGTGCTTTAAATCGCCCCTGACTGGCATCTCGGGACGGCGGTGTGAGAATCACCCTGGCACTGCGGTGTCCGGGACCTGCACACACACACACACACACACACACACACACACACACACACACACGCACGCGCACAGAATGGCCTCACCAGGACCGAGCAGCCTGGGCCCGTACCTGTCCTGCGCAGCGTGGGGAAATGTCCACCAGGCTGGCGGCCCCGGGGGTGACCTCGCCTCTGCCACCTGCGAAACAGAGACACAGAGCGGATCTGAGGGCCCCCAACGTTGTCCGCTCCACAGCGGGTTTGCCCTGAGGTCAAACTTGCCATCCTCCTGCCTCAGCCTCCCAAAGCACTGGCTAATACTTTTTTTTTTCCTCTTTGATGCAGAAGAAGACCTTCACTGAGGTTCACGTTACACAGCTCCAGAGAATCCTGCGGAAGGCGCATAGTAACCAATAGGCACAAACTGTTAAGTGGAAAGAGAAAAGGCAACCTACTCGGTGAGGAATATTTTCTATTCTCTTTCAGGGCTCACAGGAATTATGAGCAGAGGGGAGAGAAGTTCTGGCTAGCTTGCGAGTCAGTAAACGACTTGAAAAGGCGTAAAAGCTAGATTGCTGGTTAGGAGCTGATGAGCAGCACTAAAAGGGTGAGTTCTACCCAGTCTCGGTGATCTCGAAGGAAGCGGCAAAAGGGTTTCTCGGGTTATTTACTGATTCTCCTGAAGGATGGAAGAAGAGAGGGTAGGAAAGGGGTGGAGAATCACTTCTGAGACCAAAGTCTCTTGGGTTATTTTGGAGCCCCAAAGAAATAACAAGGTCTAGAGATTTTAGAAACCATCTCTGAGAACAACATAGGGACTTCTGAGGGGGGGGGGAAATATTCGTGCTCTAACCAATCACAGAATGACATCTATGTCCATCTCTCAGGAGCACGATTTACAAAGACAGCACAGCACAGGGCCTGCTCTGGCGAAAGTGAAAAAAGCCCCAGTGCGGAGGCACCTGCTGGTGTAGACGGGATCCAAAGCCACTCCATTCCACGAGCACCACCGCTGGTCACGAGGAGGAACCACGGGAGTTGTTCACCCAAGCCTCAAACGATACAAATGGAAGCTGGGTGTGGCGGAGCACATCTGCGAGCCTGCACTCTGGGAGGCTGAGGCAGGAGTAACACAATTTCAAGCCCAGTGAGGGCAACTTAGTGAGATTCGGTCTCCAAATAAAAAGTAAGGATACAGCTCTGTGTGAGGTGTGCGAGTTCAATCCCCGGTACCATCCGTCCATCCGCCCTTCACTCGGCCACCACCCTTCATCCGTCATCTAGCTGTGCTGCTATTTCTCCACCCACTAATCCATGCACCCTCTCCCGCCCTGCACACCCCACTGAGGACCCAGCTGGGCCTGGCATCCTGAACCTGCCGGTGGACACCAATTTTCTGAGATGAAGTAGACCAGGGTGTGGTCGGCCGAGAGCTCCTGATCCAGCGCCTGCAGGGTCTTACCTGGGGGAGGGGAAGTGGGACACAGCATCACCTGGCAGGTGCCAGCCAACTACCACCTCACCAAGCCATGCCACTGGCCTCCCATCCAGACGTGTGGGTAGGGGTCAGGGCTCAGGGGTCAGGGCTCAGGGGTCAGAGGTCAGGCAACAGCGCAGCCCAGGAACAGCCCGGCACCTCTTGAGCCTGTATGTCCCTCAGCCGATGAATGGATAAAGAAATGATGGTGTTTACACACCATGGAGTACTACTCTGCCCTGAAGAAGGGTGAGCATGAGTCATGTATAGGAAAAGAGAGAGAGAGAGAGAGAGAGAGAGAGAGAGAGGAATATCAAGAGCAAGCTCACCATGATTACCAAAGTGGGTGGATGGATGGATGGATAGACAGACAGACAGACACACAGAATCTTTTGTTGTAAGACAGCCTGTCCCAACTTCAGCCCCGTGGACATCTGGGCAGAGCTGTCTCCTCGGGGCGCCGTGTGCTGCAGGATGCCGGCCACGTGTCTCCTCCCCTCAGCAGTGTCCCAGACCTGCGACCCTGCAGTGTCCCTCCTGTGGTCGCCTGTAGACCAGAGCCAGGGGTCACAGCGGGACACAGTCTTCCCGGAGAGCGACCCCTGCTGCCGCGACTTCCCGCCTCCCAGGCGCACGGCGGCTGAGGGTGCGGGACCCAGATCCAGGGAGGACGCGGCCACCTGATCCCGCATCTTCAGGGCTCTGATCCCACACAGCCGCCGTCTGGGGCTCTAGACCCCAGAGAGCAGGATCCCTTAGAGACGCACGGTGCACACACAGCCGTGTGATGAGGCTTCATCTATAAATCCGGCTACAAAGAGATCCACAACGATGGAACAATAAGACTGCGCCTAAATGTGTGACTATTCGGCATCTCTCTCTCTCTCTCTCTCTCTCTCTCTCTCTCTCTCTCTCTCTCTCTCTCATTTTTGTTTCCCCTCTCCAAAGGGAACTGCTCACCCGTGAACGCGATCCCTCGGGATGTGGAAAGCGGATTCCAGGAGGGCTGAGGCAGCCTCCCATTCGGCACTCAGAAACCCCTGGCAGGTCCTTCGGTACACAGGTACTTTTAAGGAATTCTATTGTTTCTGGAAACAAAACATTTCCCAGCCGTTCGCATTTACACTGGAAGAGAGAGATTCCACACGCGCGCGGGATACCTTTTACTAAGAAAAACACTCACATCAGGGTTTTGTTTTTTATTAAATAAGTTAAAATAAGCCCACACGAGGTGAGATTTCCGCTTCCCAACTTGCGGTCCCTGCCACCCGAGAAACACCGAGCTGGACTTTGACTCTCAACACGGAGAGGCCCCATTCCCCCAGCGTGCACGGTCGTGATTTCGTTATTTTACTGCCGTCATTGTTGGTCTCGGTTGTGCCTCTGTTAGAGCTGAAGTTTTACCACAGCTGCGCGTACGTAGCAGAAAACAGCGTACAAGGGTTCAGCGCGATTCAGTCTTCAACACCCAGCGGGTTCTGAGACGCATGGCCCCTTCTATTCCACTAAGCGACGTGTACAAGGGAGAGAGAAACGCCTCACATCACTGATTCTTCACCGTTCTGCGGGGGTAGGCGGGGGTAGGTGGCACACCCCGCTGAGCCGCCTTAGCGCTGGCTTCTATTCCACTAAGCGACGTGTACAAGGGAGAGAGAAACGCCTCACATCACTGATTCTTCACCGCTCTGCGGGGGTAGGTGGCGAAGACGCTCTCAAAAGGCACAGCACCCCCGAAGGCAAGGTCTCATCTCCTACCGCTACCTCGTTTGCTCCCCGGGATCGGCACGAGGACGTCAAGGAGGAAAGGCTCAGCGTGTAAAACGCACCCCAGCGCAAGGCACAGAGCTCGGTGCCACGATGGAAAATCCACCCTCTCCACACCAGAATCCCATTTTTCTCCCACACACAAAAATCCACCGAGACGGCAAACGCCAAGGTGACAGCCCAGGCCTGGGGTCGCCCCAGGCGAACCAAGTTCCGGAGACGCGCCAGGAGAGAGACGAGACATTCCCAACGTTGAGCTGTTGAACCCACTGGTGTTTCTAAATGGCAAATGGGCCCCGCTGTACTGGCAGCAAACTCAACGCGAGCTACTCACGTGCCCAAAGTCGCTCCCGCGTCGGTGGATTCTGAGTCTGGGGAAGTCGCCGGTCCCGGCTACCCTGCTGCTTTTGTGTGTCCTCACTGGAATGGAACATTTGCTCGCTGCCCGGCCTGCACACCGTGCAGGACGCTATTTTAAACCTCGCCTCCCAGGACAGCCATCACGACTTTAGGGAAAGAATCTTCTCACGGACTTTGGAACAGACAATCAGCAGGCAGAGAGAATTCAGGGCCCTTTCGTGAAAGGGAATCACTGTGCACACGGCTGATAGAAACTGAAAAGCAGTGGTTACACTTCTGGCGAAGAAGAGAGAGCAAACTTTCACCAAGTGCAATGCAACGTTTTCTGCAGAATGTCTGCTGTCCCGGTGGACCATCCATCGTCCGGGCTGAATTTATCCGGTTAGCAATGCATCGTGAAAAACTCAATATCCCACCATTCGGGAGGCTGAGGCAGGA